AAAAATTCAAAAATTATTAAAAATACTTTAATAATGAACAAAAAATTATTATTGTTAAATTCAAAAGTCAAAATCCTTATATCAACAATAATAATCTTGTCAATTGAGTAAAAGAGAAATTTGACCTTGCAATTTATTTGAGTATTATCAGTTATATAATTAAAGGCAAAATGATATTGAAAACATTGATTTACAGAAGACAAAGAACTCTTTAAGATCTTGAAATTAAAAATATATTGCTTAAATTAGTTTTGTAAAATCAAGACAGAATAATATTAACAAATATAATTCTAGTAAAAAAAAAGAAAAAAAAATTGATTAAATGTTAAATATATCTGAAAATAACTTCAAGTTCTTATATGGTTGGTTAAATAAAAAATTTTTTTAAAATTAATAAAAAAACATTAAAAAAAGAAAATTTTTTAATAAAGTAAAAATGGGTAAAAAAAAGTTTTTTTTTCCAAATAACAAGTTACTGAAAATTTTTTTAAGTTCTAAATAAAATTGATTATAAATAAAAATATTATAAATTATTTAATAATACTGTAAATTAATCGTCTAATTTAATTAGAAATATAATTTCTTATTTAATAAATCAAGTTTTTAAAGTTAATAGATAATTTTTAGAAGAAATACAGCACAATATGTTTTTATTAACAAATTAAAATAAACCAATATCACCTGATTTGGGGATTTTGTTAGTTTTTGTAAATTTCAGACCAAATAAAATCGCCTCTAACCTTATCGTTTATTTCTTGTATTGTACCCGGTATAAAATAGTACATTTTTTATAGTTCTTTAAAACAGCCTATGCGACATATAAAAGCATTCATAGTGGATTTCGTACTAACCGGAATTTCTCTTTATTTAATACGGTGTAAGGGTAAGTTGAGACACGACGCACATCACGTGACTGGTCGTCGCGAAGGGTACTGCGAGGAACCTGTTCTTGGTTGGCGGTGCACGATTATCTAATGTGGGGAAAAGAAGGGAGTGGTTGTGAAAAGGGACTAATGTAATAGAGACCTGGCTTACCTATTATTATTAAAGTATAGCCGTACTAGCCTCTGTAAATAAAAAGAGATGTATAAAAAGAAAGAGACAAGCATTAATAAAGGAGAATAATAACATTAAATTACTCGGTCAAATAAAAACACGCCTCAAATCACTCTTTTGTTCATTTACCTGATAACGGTTACGCGAATCTCTGCTAGAGTGAGCGACAGACTCGCCGTTACACCGTTACAATATTAAGCTAATTTGGAAGTACTGTATGTATTATATAGCACTAAATTTATATTTGCCTTTTTTGTTTATGCAATGGCGACGGATAATTCACTTACCTAAAAAGGCAATTGTCGCCATATTATACTTTCTGACATTCTTCTTTTCCCATGAAGTACAGTATGCATATGCAGTGTGATCGAAATGTATAACAAAAAAGTAGAGATTCCGGTAATAAAAAGTAAAAACAAAGATCCTCCATTATATACTTACCGTGAAACCTTGTCCTGGTTTGATATCCAAACCCGCCAAATTACACGCCACTTTCGACTACGTCAGACGTGATCATCTAACAAGTTGCCTGCGCAGGCGCTGTACTATACAATGTGCGAAAATTCTTAACATAATGTTGACGCCGTACCCGCCAATGCTATAATAAAGTTAAGAAATGGATTTTTTTAATATTAATAGCTATATAATAAAAATAAGATTTTCAAAAAAAAAACAATTTGGAGTTTGCAAAGATATTATTAAATTCAGAACCTTATAATTGGCAAACAATGACCTGTATTATTACTTATTCTAGTGGAATTACAATTAATTGTTTTATATACTGGTTCCAAATTAATCTTTCCAATCAATCTTATCTTGACATGCATTATTTGTTGTAGATTGTGATTTATCGGCGTGTCATCACTTGGTGGTTCTCTTTTTTCTTTGATTTATCTATTGTAATGGTGACCGGTGAGACTGTCGTTGAGAGTAGCTAAGACTCGCATTATGATAGATGAGTAATAATAGCGCTTAAATAAATTTGACGTGGATTTGATTTGACCAAAAAAAAAAAACTAATTGTCTTTATTAATTTATATTTTCTTTCTTTTTATACATTTTCACGCTAATTACATAATGAAAATAAATAAAACTAATTAAAGCTGAAGCTGATAAAATATTATGGCGAAACTACTGTATTATTAAATAATTTTTCACGTTTTTTTTATTACAATTATTGAATCGACTCGAGGCACCACGATTGTTTCTTGCAAATATAATCACGTGATAATAGTCTGAAATTTAATCACTTGATATTTCCCTAGAAGCTGCTCTAATCTGTACAGTATGAATCTCGTTTGTAAGTCTTACCAAATAAGATATCGGTTAGCATGCAGAAATACTGTAAAAATTACAGTTTCCTCAGATTAGATACTGTAACCCAAAGTACAGTGTGATAATCAAACTACGATCTTTTACGTATTAACATCTTTATCGGCGAGTCTGTCGTGATCGGTAGTGAAAACTTGGAAGAAGAAAGTCACCCATTACATATTGAAATACCAAGAAGTGTCTGTTTGTAGATCTATTAGTTTATGTATAAGCGTTAAAAACCTTTATGAATTAACAGAGTTCTTTTCAATATATTTACCCAGAGTAATTTCTAAAAATCTTATAACGTAACCAACTGCACCAATATATTGTAACCATTGATTTCAATACCTTAATAATTATTGCACTACGTTAAAATATTTTTATGTACCTATGTTTATAAATACTTATATAAAAATTCGGTTTATCTTGAATGTAATCGCGAAATATGTGCATTCGTTTATTAACAAATACGACTATTTTTTGGAAATAGATCTTATAAGGGTGAAAATGGAACAGCTGCAAGGATTGGTTGAAGCCTAATTAACAATGAACTATTGACTATGTCTCAGGTAGAGAAAAAGAACTTACCCTAACGTTAGTCGATTACTGGTCCAATGAAGCGACAGATTCGTTGATGACAATATATAGCTATACTTTTTTTAAATCCATATTTTATAATTGATTTAAATTTGAAATTTAATAAAACAATAATCATTATATAATAAAATTGCTGTCACATTACATTGGGGTTTGAATTTTTTTTTTGAATTTTTACTGATGTTTACATTTATTTTCCACACCCAAACCGAAACTCGCAGATGCAGCATACTTTATGTTTGATGAGCAAACAGCGTGCTATTTTTTTTCAATCATATTGATTGATGCTTGGATTTGGGAATTGATGTGTAAATTTTCTTAGCTAGTCAAAATTTTTTCTTCCAAAATTTGTCGTAAATTGAAATTCGGTGTGATCATTCATTTTCTTTAGAATATGTTAATTCATCAAAACGCTTTATTTGCCAAAAAAATATTTCCGTTTTACGGTCTCCCATTATAATTTGAATATATAGTATATGCACTTGTGTAAGGATAATTAGCCCCAAAACAACACAAAAAGCCAAACAAGTATTTTTGACACAAGGAACGAGACTCAATAAATAAGGTTACGTGCTGAATGCAAAACGAATTCAATGAGCTATCTGATTATCTTAATACCGTAATAATCATGCATCCTTGTTATCAATGATGTTAAATAAAAATCTACAAATTCCTATTGCTATTGTAATTTCCTTATATACAGTAGTAGGCACCCAAGAAGGCAGCGGTTGTCATGTATTATAGTGAAACAATTATTATAATCATGCATATTGGTTTCCATAATTAATTATGAAAATACTGTAATTATGTTATTGTAGAACAAAAACAGCAATCATTAAGAGTTGAACTGTAATGCATGGTAACTATGGACCTTCGTGAGTGCCTACTGTATAAGGAAAGTTAGAATGGTAATACGGTTTATTAATTTTAAATGTAGGTTTTTTTAAACTCGGTGAATTAATGTAACAACAAAGTTACATTCATAATGCATGATAACCGTTGACCTTCCACGAGTGCCTATAAGGAAGGCTACAATAGAAATAGGAATTTGTTGATTTTAAATTAAGGTTCTTAACTGTACCGTATTAAGATAAACGGATGGTCACGCATTCATTTTTTGCATTCAACATGTAACCTTGTTTATCAAGTAGCCATTGTTCTTGTGTTCAAAGAAGAAAATGCTTGGCTTATCATAGATGATTTTGGGGACTGGGATTTTTTGATCCTAGAATTTGCATAAAATACGCATTATTTTTTTTTTAAAAAAATAACATTTGGCATTTTTGTCGCCTTCAAAGATAATCTTCTGTATGGGTGGCGTACACATAATACTGTAATACCGTTACGTGTCGTTGTATCCTTGCATACGGTCTGGTCAACTCTCGATAAAAGAAACTGCTACAAATAGTTTATCTATGTAATACTAATTTATGATATGCTTTATTTATAAAGAAATCTGTGAAATGCACGATTAGATTCATGTTGAATGTAATAAATGAATGCGTATCCATCGGTTTATCTTAATGAAAACGCCATCAACTTTTTTGTCAAGAAATTGCATTTAAAATCAACAAACTCCTATTTCTATTGTAGCCTTCCTTATAAGGTCAATGGATATCATACATTATTGTCGTGGCCTTGTTGTTACAGCAATTCACTTGGATTTTTTTAACAACATTACATTTAAGTTTAAAGATTTCCTATTGTTATTGAAACCTTGCGTACACGCGTCGATGGTTACCATGTATTTAATTTTATATGTAGATCTTTTAAATCTCATTGACAATACTGGTCTATTGTTATTAAGTCACCAGGCGCCTTGCGCATTTTAGTTTACATTCAGCACGTAGCCTTGTTTACTGATAGTCTCGGTCCTCGTGTTCAAAAAAAACTTGTTTAGCTTATTGTTCCTTCAATAAAAGCCTTTGGCTAATTATATACAGGCAACTTAGAATGGATGGCATAAAATCAGAATTTCTGTTTATATAAAGAAACATTTTGGTAACCGTATAAAATTTCAATATTCCAAGAAAATGAGTGAATCAATACCTAAGGATTACCTAATTACAATTGCCGACGATATTTTGGAAGAAAAAGCTTCATATAGTGTAGAAAAAACTTTAAGTGACGAAGAAGCAACTTCAAGCGATGAAGAAAGTGATGAAGAAATAACTTCAAGTAACAAGAAAATATCGCACGTCAATTCTCCCCAATATCCGCACAATGGAAAAAAAATAGCACGTGTTGTTTTCTCCCCAAACAAGAAGTATGTTGCATCTGCGAGTTTGGAGGATAATTCGGTTTGCGTGTGGAAAATCCCGAAAGATGTGAAAACCATGGAGGATGTAAAAACCACGGAAGAAAATTCTAAACAAGAATTAAAGTTGATTTGTTCATTTAAATTTAAAAGGATTGATTTGAAGAAACCAATAAGGGTCTCGAATTCCTTGGATATTCTTATAGGATATCGTAAAGAAGATAATTTATTTCTCGGTAAGTATGGAGTTAATTTGAAAGTTGTAATGCACCTCTTTTTAATAGTGCTTCTAATTATTCAACAGAAATCAGAGATATCATAAACGAGCAAAAGAAACTATTAATTGCACAAGGAATCAAAGATGAAGAAACCGAGGTAAAGGAAATATTAAATGCACAAGAAATCAAAGATGAAGACACCCGGAGATTTAAACTATTTAATGCACAAAAATATTTAAATGGAAGAGTTGATTGCATTGAATTTCTTGAAAATGGAGATCTGGCAGTTGTCGAGGGAGATCCTGCTTATCAGGTCCACATCTTCTCTAAAAAAAAAAATCAGTGGTACCGCACGAATATCATCAAACTCGTAAAATATAGACGTTGCATCATTTCTCAGGAAAGAGTACTAATTCTTTTAGATATACCTTTTGTGATCATGCAATGGAATTTATTAACACGAGAGTTTGAAGCACAATACGAATTGGATTGGAGGTTGACGTCTTGGAAATCGATTAGTATGGAATTAAACTATAATGCTGAATGTTTAGCAGTAGCCGGAAATCTGAAAGGAGCATTAAAATCAAAAGTCTATTTTTATTCAACGAAATCTGGAACAATGATAGTAGATGGTAAGTACCATTTGTGTACAATCAAACCATCTAATTTTATTACTAATACAGCATATAAATTTATTTAACAGTATCGATTATGGAAATATTCGAAGATATTTCTGGTACATATAAAATTACCATATTTTTGTCCAAGTAAATTATACAATATACAATATACAGTATTTGTTACTAATCTATACTATATAATTATTTAATAGAAAATTTCGATGAAACCAACATTCACATGAATTTTATCACATTAGAGAATGGGGAATTTTTGTTCATCAATTTGGAATCATCCTACGTTATTAATCTAAGCACCTTTTCGACATCAGAAATTTCACGGGGGTATAAATTTCCGGACGTAAACTCTTTTATTATTATCCCTGGTTGCTGCCAAATTAATTTCAAGCCTCCACAAAAAACTACTCTCGATCTTCTATGCACTTCCAGTTATATCATACGATATGGTGATAGTATAGAAACCAAGTGTTTAAAATTGACCGATAACAACAATAAGGCATGCAGCCTATTTGGGGTAGAAAACAAAATGGATCAACACTCTAATGTAAATCAAATAGAAGAAATAAGAATGAATCTTCATACAGCGTACCGACATGCCAAAGAAATTAGTAAATATAAAAAACCCAAAATATATGAAGGCCAACAATATACCTGGATTGTTGAGTGCAGGAGTGAAAATTTCATTGTCGAATTAACAGTTTTGCATACTGCGAAAGAAGCGGAAGAGAAAAAGTCGAAAATCGGAAATGTAGTCATTTATTTACGCGCGCGCAAAAAGGAAGTTTATATAAAATTTCGACAACTCAAAAACGGTGATTTGATGTTGATTTCCTCTTCTGGCGTACAAATCTGGACAGCAAATAATATCAACGGTATTGAATTAAGTCATTATTGGGCTAATTTTGATACGCTTTATAATTCGGAAACGGCAAAAGATTCTATGAATCGTCAACTTGATGACCTAAAGAGTATATTTGATTCTCACAATTCCGAAAACTTGTTACCCTTTCCGTACTTCGAACAAATCATTAAGCGCAAAAACAAACTGATGTATAAAATAACAAAGATTCAAGGTTCAGATACGGATCCAACTATTGGTCCAACTATTGGTCCAACTATGGGTCCAACTATAGGCCCAACTATGGGTCCGAGTATTGGTCCGAGTTCGGATCAGAATAAACCAATTTCTCAGGAATTTCATCATAATGAACTTTTAGATAGATATAGAAATGATATTGTATACGGAAGGGAGCTGCTCCATGTCTTTATTAAAACCAAAAAAGTTAAATATATTGAGGATCTCTTTCTATTTATTCTCAGAAAAAGTTTGTCCAATTTTGAATATGTTGGTTTTATTTCCGAGTTTATCGAATTATTAGGCACGATCACCTATAATCTTTTGGAATTAGAAGCACTCGACGAAAGTTATGGATTTACAGAACGTTTTTTATCCGCAACCGCATTATTAATCCCTGATGATAATGAACGTCTTATAGACAGATCATCTACTTCAATTCACACAGACCCTTATAAAACTTTACCGTATTCATTTAACACATCACTTTTCGATCGCCTATCTTCCTGGCCAAAGAAAAACCATACCTTATTTACTAAAAAAACCGTTAGATTAATGATACCCTTATTACATTTCGCCACCTACCCTAAATACGATTCTGTTTGTAAGGATTTTATTTCTCCACGTGGAAACTCTTTTACATCATTGGATTCTCCAGAATATTATAAATGGCCGAATATGAAAGCTCTTGTTGACTTCAAGTGGAACGCGTTTGGGAGAATGTATTATTATTGGATGTGGGCAATTTACTCGATATTTTTACTATGTTTTGTCATAATCGCGACAGTTCCACAAAACAATATCCCATGGAAACTCCAGGAAGCTCTTTTAGTGATAATAATTTTGCTGGGAATTTTTCTGTTTACTTTTGAAATTCGTGAATTCATCTACCATCCAAAAAAAGATTATATTCAAAGCCCTTGGAACTGGTTTGGTTTGTATCATCGATATTCAAGGCATATAATATTTATTTATATTAAAGTTCTAACTTGGTCTAATTTACAGATGTTGCCGCAATACTTTTTCCAACAATAACCTCGTTCATATGGCTTATTGACATAAACCCGCCGTTATGGATTATCGTTATATCAACACTTGTTCTTGAACTCAAATTTTTAATTTTTTTCCGTGCCCTTGATAATTATGGATTATATTTTGCAATTATGATCGGAGTAATAACAAAAATTATTTACTTTATTATACTTTTGGGGATTATTGTTTTGGCATTTGCCCATTCTTTACATCTCTTATTAAGACCGACCACTGGATATTCTTACGATGAACCAAGTTACAACAGTGACGAAAACAATCCATGGAACCTTGCTTCAAGATATCAATCCATTTCCACCGATGGAGTTATTGGAAATCAAACACTTATCGCAACTCCTGATGATAACACAAACTCATTTTCGGCATTTGATACTGCTCTATTAGCAGTTTATTTCATGCTAACGGGTATTGTATGATTTACAGTAATTATCTGTTATTAAATATAAAATTAATTACCGTACTAATTTTTTTAAAAATCTTTTATTAGGAGACAGAAGTTCGGTTGCGTCATGGAGTCTGAGAAATAATCCGACATTAGCGGTTATATTAGTTGTGTTTTCATTCTTCACAGCAATTTATTTAATGAATTTATTAATTGCATTGCTTAATACGGCAATCAATGATATAAATAAAGAGGAGTCGCTTTTACACTTAAGGGGAGAGGTTTGATATTTATCATTTATTTATGATTAATAACATTATGCGATGTATAAATTGACAAAAATTATTGCTTATAGATTTTGACGAATATTGAACTTTTTTGGATGCTTCCCCACCAAAGAAGAAAGGAAAATTGGTTTCCGGAAATTTTGTAATTGTTTTATAAATACTTCTTAAGCATCCCTACTTAGAAGGTTGACTTCACCAATTTCTAATGCGTAAAATTTTTTTCAGGTATTATGAAGTATCTGTTGATGAACTTGTCAACTATCTTGAGAAAATAGAAAAGGATGAATGTAGCGAAGCCTTACAGCAAATTTTACCTAATATTAGAAAAATTGTCAATAAAGAATGTGGACAAAAGTAAGCAGATACTATAAGAATAATATGTGTGGGTATTGGAAATTTCTTTACATTTAGAACAACATTATCCGTCACACTGTATTAATTATTACAATTTCTTAAATATGGAATTTGAGTAAATAAAATTTTTATTGTTATTTCATTATCAATTGGTCAGTAACGTACATAATTTATTAAATCTTGAATGTAATGTGACGGCGATTTTATTACATAGTACTGTATATAAAAATCATTACTGTACGAATTTTATTATAGTAAAGTTACAAATTTTAAATCAATTACAAATTATATTATATATTGCTATCAGCGTACACTATTAATTAGATCCTTGCTGCAGTTCCATTTTCAGCCTTATACAGTAAGATTCTATTTCCAAAAATAGTTATATTTGTTAATAAAAGAATGCACCAATTCAATTTCTTTTTACACTCCATTTTTACACCCTCTGAGTATATTTATATTATTCTATAACCTATCGTTGGTGTATTTCCAAGATATTTTCAAACTACCATAAAGTTTTGTTGTTTTACCCTTGAGACGCGCTGGGGTGACTTCACATACTAATCCATAAAAATATCAGGATCGAATAATATTAAATAAACCCTGGAAATTTTTTCAAGATACTACTTTCTGCCTTCACGTTATATTTTAAAAGGCTTTCGCGATTATATTCAGGATAAACCGGATTTTTATAAACCATTTGTGAGGGAGTTAATGATATTCATAAACATACTTACAGTCACCATGTAAAGTATTGCACTTTTTAAAGAAATCAAAAATTTTTATTTATGCATAACTTATTATACACATGGTACTAATTATACTAATATTTGTTGCCCTTTCATTTGCCTTTAATGCCGCATTTATTCTTCTAGATATTGTTGTGGGATAAAAAGCAGACGCAGTAACGTGACACACCTTCGCGTCACGTAATTAGTGTAGTTATGGGATTAACGATGGGAATTTCTAGAATAGCGTAGAATAGTGAATAGATGGAAACATGTAAACAACAGGCGCATGTATAAATATACTGTATGCGTAATTTAGCGCGTTGTGGAACAATAGTGATAATGATGGTGAAAGGATGTATTAAGTGGTAATACTGTAGCATGTAATGAGGATAGACGCGTCAACAATGCATATAAATAGAATATTTTTTATATAATTTGTAGAGTCAGTTCGTAAGTATATTTTAGAGTTTAGATTTTTGGAACACCTGTTGTTCTCGCGCTTTATTAAATAAATGCTATTCTACTTCGCACAACACAATAATAACTTTACTCCCCCTAAAATATAAACTAAGATCATCGCCACTACAGTAAAGTAAATGACTTAAGAGAATCTGAGTTATTTTTTGCAATCTTGAGACGCGCCTAGAGAGAAAGCCTGTCAAGAAGAAATTAGCAAGTGCGTGAAAGTCGGTCAAATTGTAATCCGTCTTAGAGACAAAGCATTATCTTATTTAGTGCTGAAATCCAATTATCGTCACGTGAATAGTGAGTCGTTTTAGCGACAGACTCTCCAATGACAACAACAGAAACGTATCGGTGACGCACCTTAAATGTTTGTATCGTATTCATCACAAACTCGGAAACAATTATTTCAAAAATGATGTACAAATGTTAATAGCATGTCAGGTCAGGTCTAAACACTTATAGTATCTTTTACAAGTAATGTCCACAATAAACTTTCAATCTCCTACTCACACCTAGTGGACATTTAACTTTAGATATTCTGCATTATTTCCTGTGAAGGATTTTTTTTGGTGTATTTTCATTTAGAAAATACAGCAATTCACTTCATGTGAATTGTGAATTGATTTTTTTTTTTGAAAAAAATTATTTATATTTATGTCCTGTAACAAAAATTCCAAAAGTTTTGTTATACGTTGTATACGGGTATCCTTATATTCATGACGTGATCATAAGCAGTATATGGCCAACAACGGTATCCTTTAACTATACTGTATTTATATATATAATATTTAACTAATGCATCAAATGTTCGATAATATACTATAAGCGTAGTATAATAAGAGCTAATAAAACATGAGCGATAGAATATACTAATCTAATTATATACCTATGATTCCAAATATCCCAACTTTAAATTTCTTACTTTTCAACTATTTAACGATGGGTGCATGATACATTTGCAAAAAAAGTATCAATAATGATCCGATTTTTGTCCAATGGTCAATTGTATGATCAATTGCATACTCTTTTACATATAATTCGCCATGGTTTACATTTTCCTTCATTAATTCTCTGTTTATTTGAAATTCGTCGAAAATTTGTTTCCAAAAGTCTAATGTATAAATTTACAATTAGTTATCATCATATGATATTTATAAAACAACAGTTAAATTTACCTGATGCTTCTTTTAATTGTAAAATTTTCAATCTTATATTTAGAATGCATTTCAATTCGACAATCAGACGATCCATAATCAAATTTTTACATCCTTTTTCATTTAATTCTTTTAAATGGGAGTATCCTTCATCTACTTTCTTTATTAAAAATAATAACAAATAAACTAAATTGAAAATAACCTAAATAACAACAACGTAAAAAAATTTTTCAGTTACCTTCTTATAATTTGTAATATGAAAGACTTCATTGGATTTTCGAACCCATTCGTCGACCTTGTTCATTTTTTCTAACGTTTGTTCGTATATTGTTTTATCCGTTTTATTTTCAATTTTCCGAAGTGTCTCTTCAAGTCTCATAATTCCACTGTTAAGAAATTCGTGAAATTCACTAAATCGTTCAGTAAATTTTTTGCAATTTTTGATGGATTCGTCGATAAAATTTAAATGCGGATCAGTTAGATTATTGATTTTCCCTCGATCATTCTTCCATCCTTTGACGAATTCATTGTGATTCTCAGAAAAATAAGAAAGGGTGTTAGACGCAAAAAATGATCCTTCTTTGATTAATGCTCCTAACTCAGCTGAATAATCATTAATTTTTTCAATATCATCTAATAAGTCGATCTCCATGAAATTGCCGAATATTTCATTGGATAAAAATTTTACATTATTTATCGTAACCTCAGGTATCTCATAAAAATACGTCGGATTTATACTAATACTTGGATCAAAATCATGTCCATCCCATTGATTAATTGCAAACTCAAATGATTTTCCGTATACACTATAATAGATAACCTAGTAAGAGGAATGTAGTATTTCTATTTTTTTTTTTATGCATTAATAAGATGGATTATATAATTACCGCCTAATAGTTATATGAATTAAAAAATTTATAATTAATTTTAGATGAAAAATAAACAAAATATTATTATGCTAACTTAAAAATATACCTACGCCCTGATTAATTGCAAATATTATGTTTAATGATTAATCATTTAATAAAATTATAGGAAACAAATTTTGCACTTACAAACTAATAAGTTTAGAATTAGCGAGTTTAGATTAAAGAAATGATTATTCTCAGTGATTAATTTTATAGTTTTAAATTATATACTTACGATCTGAAATTTTGAAAGTAAAATGAACTTATTGTTACACGATAGTTATAAACAAATATTAAAAGTACGATAACCTAATACTTACTCCCTTTACGCATAAATCATTAGGTTACTTGTTAACGAATTTTCGATAAATTGAGCCATACGGTAAAAGTTATACTCACGTTCTGGTAATTAGATATATAAGACAGATAAATTTTTAATAACAACTTTTTAATGGAAATATAATAAAAAAATCCTTCACAGGAAATAATGCAGAATATCTAAAGTTAAATGTCCACTAGGTGTGAGTAGGAGATTGAAAGT